GGGGGGAGTGTTTGACCAGCTGGTTGTGGGGAATGGGGGTGGGGTTGTGCCTCTTAACTAAAACCCCAATATAATAGTAACATTGCCCCCAACCCCATCCCTCTTCTCTCAGACAAAAAGTGTTGGTTTGAACAATTGAACTTGTTCGTATTTTGTTTGAATTAAGCTCTTAAGAAGAAAATATAAGTAAAATATATTAAAAAATAGATTTTAAAAATCGGGAAAATGGATTTAATATTTATGAAAACTGACGGCCTTACAATTGTATAATGTATATACGTTTAAGTGTATGAAAATGAATATTTTATTTTTATGTTAATGATCCAATATTGAATCTGTTTGTGAGCTTATATTATACTGAGGGTACTAGATCATTCATGTTTCCTTGAGCCGGATACACCTTCTTCCAAGAAATAGATAAGTGATAATATTTTCAGGATACGGGACCCATCTCAGATATCAAATTGCCACAAAAAACATGAAACAGGAATTCAGACATCATATTTTGTTTACATTTCATATCTTTAGATCTGAGTCATTATGTTAACATTAGTTTGACGTGAGACTATTTCTTATTCTTTTTAGAAGCTCTCGGCTTTTTAAGGTTGGAACTTTTCTTTAACATTTGATCTTCATTTTAACAGGCCCCCTAACCTGGGGCTCACATCTCATATTTTTTTTGTTGGGGGGGGGGAGGGGGGGGGCTGGCTATAATTATTCAATACTGAAGTTGTAAAAACAGCTTATTTTCTCTCAATATATTCTCGGGTAAATATATTCTCTCAATTTCTCATCGATCCAGATAAAATTTACTTAATCCATTGAACGGCAAATGATTAAAAGATTATTCTTTTCTTAAGGGATTAACATTTCAAAAGTTCCGATATCGGATGATCATTTTAGGTATTATATCCAATAGTTCAAAAAAGGTTTTTTTGGGAGAATTTTTCTTGCCTGGTTCATTGGATCCATAATTTACCAGATTCTTAATTCAAAATAGAACTGGGATGTATATGTATAGCAGTAACCCGTCCATAGGCTGATGATGAAGGATTCTTCTAAGGCCTTCTACGAAAGTAGAACCTAACCATTACAAAATAGATTGAATTGGATTAAAGTTCCGATATCGGATTAAATAAAATAGATTGAAATGGATTAAAGTACCGATATCGGATTAAATAAAATTGAAATGGATTACAGTTCCGATATCGGATGAAATAAAATAGATTGAATTGGATTAAAGTTCCGATATCGGATTAAATAAAATAGATTGAATTGGATTAAAGTTCCGATATCGGATTAAATAAAATAGATTGAATTGGATTAAAGTTCCGATATGGGATTAAATAAAATAGATTGAAATGGATTTAAGTTCCGATATCGGATTTAATAAAAATGATTGAATTGGATTAAAGTTCCGATATCGGATTAAATAAAATAGATTGAATTGGATTAAATAAAATAGATTGAAATGGATTAAAGTTCCTATATCGGATTTAATAAAAATGATTGAATTGGACTAGGGAGATTTAATCCGAACATTTACTGATATTCCGGACAATCCTATTCGACCTAAAGAAGGAGACTCGCATCCGCTTGGGGCTCTTCCGATAGGAACAGCCATCTGTCAGGTATTGCGTGATTTGTAAGGTATTCTGTATTCTGTCAGGTATTGCGTGATTTGTAAGGTATTCTGTATTCTGTCAAGTATTACGTGATTTGTCAGGTATTCTGTATTCTGTCAGGTATTGCGTGGTTAACAGGTATTCTGTATTCTGTCAAGTATTACGTGATTTGTCAGGTATTCTGTATTCTGTCAGGTATTGCGTGGTTAACAGGTATTCTGTATTCTGTCAGGTATTGCGTGATTTGTGAGGTATTCTGTATTCTGTCAGGTATTGTGTGATTTGTCAGGTATTCTGTATTCTCTCAGGTATTGTGTGATTTGACAGGTATTCTGTATTCTGTCAGGTATTGTTTGATTTGTCTGGTATTCTGTATTCTCTCAGGTATTGTGTGATTTGTCAGGTATTCTGTATTCTGTCAGGTATTGTGTGATTTGTCAGGTATTCTGTATTCTGTCAGGTATTGTGTGATATGTCAGGTATTCTGTATTCTGTCAGGTATTGCGTGATTTTTTTAAGGCAACTCGCATGGCCGAATTGAAGGTCAAAATTTAAAAATTGTTCTCATAAAAATTGTCGACATTTACTAAAATTGAAAAGTCAACAATTTGAATTGTAAAATCTACGAAATCTACATAGAAAAGAGGCGTCCTGAAAGCCTATAACTTCAAGTAAAAATACAATAAAATGATCTCAAAACAAATTAATACTAAATCAATACATCGTTTAAGATTATAATTTTTTGTATTAGATTGAAGCATGGCCCGGTGAGGGGGCGTTTTTTATGAAAAATGCCGAGGATGAGGCAAAAATTGTCAGAAAGGTATATTTTTTGTAACATTAATTTTTTTTCTGAAAATACAAGAATTCAATCTTATTTTTCTTCTTTTTTATTCAATTATATTTTTCAGCAATTTTATTGAGGAAATTAGATCTCTTATGCTTGTGCATATTGTTCTTAAAAAGTATGATTTCATGTTTGAAATGCATTTTTTTCAGGTTGGCGACAGAGTAGTTATCAAGTGTTGGGATAAACTCGAGTTCGCTATTCCTCAGTAAGTATAGAGCTAGGTTTATATGAGCTCAATGTGTACAGTCAACCACAAAGAACCGGTAACGCGCGTGGAGTTGGAGACCTTGCTCTGCATGGAGAGCCTACCCCCTCGTGTTTTAATCATTTCAACACAATTTTAGACATTAATATCAACTTAGTTATAAAATGTATTATTTAAGGGGGAAAACGCAAAAAATGTATTTTCCGTTCAAATGTCGTCTTCCTTTCAAGTTATCAAACAATCATTAGAGACTCGGATCTTTTTCATTGTCCAATCAAAACAGTTTATTAGTTATAGGCAAGTGTCAAGACATTAGTTTTGATATTTAAAATTGTTTAGAAATGGTGTTAAGATAAAATATACTGCAAAAATATGCCCGGATGCCGCGGAAAATTTGCTGCGTAGAATCTACTACCATTATTTAACTTTACCCAGAAATAACGCCACACCGGGTTTCGGGAACTGACTTGCAGTGTGGATCAGAATTGGAAAGTCTTCTCAATCAAATTCCTTAGGTTAACAGCTGAAAACGCACTTATATTTGGAAAATCAACATGGGAGAAAATATGCCCGTGTATTTTCTAAAAGGAGTATGCTACAGTTCGCCCTACCATATGCTTATACATGCTTTGCAGACTGGTACTTCATTTGTATAAGAAATATTTGTCTGATGTACAATAACTGCGTATACAATAACCTATTCTGAATTTTTCATATAGAAATGAAGTACCCGTCTGCAAAGCCTGTATAATCATATGGTAGGGCGAACCGCGTCAGTTATATCTCCCTTCTATTCCATACTCCTTGGTCGAGATAAATTCAGATAAATCAAGATAAATCAAGATAAATCAAGATAAATCAAGATAAATCAAGATAAATCTAGATAAATCTAGATAAATCTAGATAAATCAAGATAGGGAAATAAGAAGAAGAAATCAAGATAAATAAACCTTAATCTAATTTGAACAAGCTTTATTAAGCTAAAACACGCTAAATCAAGCTAAATCAATTTAAAACGAGCTAAATCAAGCTAAATTAATTTAAATCGAGCTAAATCAAGCTAAATCAATTTAAATCGAGCTAAATCAAGCAAATTAAAGCTGAATCAATCTGAATCAATCTAAATTCAACCTAAATCAAGCTAGGGTATTAAATCCAGATAAACCAGGAATTTGCGAAAGAAACTAAAATTTTAAATTTTTAGGTACAATAGGATTTATTAATTTTTTGAAAATTCATTTGATTTAGCATATCTGGTTATTAAAATCTTATGCTTGGCACAGCGGTTTGGAAGTTGCACTTCAAAACATGATCAAATTGATCCAGTGGGTCCAGTGCTCAAGGGAGCAATAGATCCACAATAGGTTTGCTTCAACGAAACCAGTTAGCGTCATCAATAGTAATTGAGACAGTGCTTACTGCTTATTGTTTTATAAAAGAAAATATTATTAAATCGTACTACTAAGGTGAAATGTCGGATGTGCATCAATCCTAGGCACTGGGCTGCTATACAGTATACATGAATTATTTTTATATTTTTATTGAAAAAGTTTTAATTTTATTTCAAAGCTTAATATGTTTTTTTTTAAATTAACACCTTTCTCTTTTATTATGCCCTATTATAACGCTTGGTAACTAACCATCACTGCCTATGATGATCATTTTAGGTATTTTATCCGATAGTTCATAGAAGGTTTTTCGGAGAGGGTTTTTCTTCATTCATTGGATTCATAATTTACCAGATTCTTAATTCAAAATAGAACTGGGATGTATATGTATAGCAGTAACCCGTCCACAGGCTGACGTTGAACCAATCTTCTATGGCCAACTACGAAAGTAGAACATATTTGTTTTAAATTGTGTAGAAACACTAGGGGGAAGGCTTTCCAAGCACGACACCGGAATTAATTCACAAGTAATCAGACGACATAACAAAAGTCTTTGATCTTTGAAACAGTTTACATTCATGTGTCAACCTAATTATAAATGGTGAAACAATCATTACAAAATTGCCTTAGTTCTGCCATTTCTAAAATGTGTTCTGCCCTTTTTGTGCTTACTCAAGGGAGATATGAATGCTTTTGTTCAAAATTAAAATGTTCGTTTTATTCAACCAAATTAAATCTAGCCAAAAAAATTACATCTCTGGTTAATTTTTAACGCACAAGAAAGGCAGACCACATTTTGGAAATGGCAGGTCTAAAGCTATTTTTTCATTCATATGTTTAAATTATTTAGGGAAGCCCAGTGTGTTATTGGGGCTAATTCTATTCATCCGCTTCGTGCTATGCCAATAGGTAAATGTACTAGTTAATGTCATCTTCCTTCAAGGAAGAAATCTACGAAATAATCTGACAAATTCGCTAGTTCAACCCAGTACTTCGGAAACATCGAAATAATGTATAAAATGTCAGTGTGGCAATTTTTAATGGTTTTTATATTATCATACCAAAATCTTAGTAATTGTAAAAAAAAAAAAATAGCCATGACTTTGAGGTAATCATTTAAAAACTTCATATCATTATTCAATTAAAAAGACTAAATATCTGCAGCATTCCAACATCAGAAAGTTAAGAACATGACATTTTATAAATTCTTTCGACGTGTTCGAAGAACTGGGTTAAACTGTATAAGACTTAAACTATAGGTTTAAAAAAGAGGTTTGAAAAGAAATAGAACTACTCAGCATAATCTTTAATTAAATTAAGGACTGAAGATCTCTTTAATCTTTAATAAATTAGACTTTTGTAATAAACTAGGCTTTTAGGGCGCTTTACGCCCATCTTCTATTTAAATTGTGAACATGTTCTTTTTGTTTACATTTTAAAACAAAGAAGAAAAAATTTTACAGATTTTAAAAAAAAAATTCGCGGATTTTTAAGAATTTGAATTTTTTTACAAAATTAAAAACCTTTAAAACACATTCTTTTTATTTTTATCATTCATAAACCTTCCCAATGTCCCACAAAAAATTTGGGCCCGATCGGTTCAGCCGTTTTGACGTTTATTGGACACAAACAGACACCCAAACAGACAAACACCAAGACAAGCCAAATTTATATATAGATTAGCCTTATTCGTTTTCAATACCCGTTCAAGCATGATTTTCTTCAGCAAATTTTGTAATATTTATCAGATGAACTGCTGTTCTTAATGTAAGATGTCTTAAAAAAACAGGTTTGATTTAATTAACTGAAATTCAGAGCCCAAAATTATTTGTTCTTTAAGCACTTTTAAAGAACAAAATCTTCAAAATGCAGATGTAGAATTTGATTGGATTGTTTTGCTTTTTCATTAAGAAAAAAAACCTAAGTGAGCATTAATAAATTCTTTTTCTATAGAATTAATATTTGCCTTTTTTCATGATTTTTTCGTTGTTCTTGTAAACTAAGCTAAGGATGTTCTTAAAAAGACTGTCAATGTAATGTTAAGAAGTTAGAATTACTTTTCAGATGCACAACTATACTGAAAGTTCTTAATCTTGATGATACATAAAAACTTTGTGTTCTGACATTTATGCATGGATACTTTAATGATAACCTTCCCTCTTCCTTCCAAAATATGTTTAAGTCATTAGCTGAACCGAATAAACAAAATCATATAAATTAGAACGGGTTTTAAACAAAATTTTAGACAGCTTTCCGTCCGCAATGTTTCCTAAATTGTGGAATGCAATTGAAATTGACCTTAAAGAAACTAAATCTGCAAAAATATTTAAACAAAGAGTAATCAATATTTATCTTGAGAATTATGAGAGGTGTAAATGCGAAAAACCTAGCTGTATATCGTGTGAATAAATTTTATATAAAAAGCTAAAATAACTGAAACTTTATTAGCTTATTTCTGTTTCTGTATCTACCATCATTAACACCCTGTATTTTAATTTATCTCTACATAAAAATCCCTCTGATCTCACCCTGCCACAGATCACCTGACAATTTCCTTCCCTCCTTCCTTCCTTCCAATCAACTCCTTACCTATCCAAAAACATATCTGATATGTGTAACCAATTATATTCAGTATTGTTAATTAACTTCGGGCCAACCATTTAAAACAACCAACCCTGGTTAGGCGGGTTAGAGATATTAGTCGGAGATATTAAAAAATCAAACAACCTTGGTTATATTTAATACTTTTAATTTTAGACTAATTTCTCAATAGCAAAAACGGCAGACCACATTTTGGTAATTTCTTAACAATGCACATTTGATGCTACCCAACTTCTGGGAGGCAATGTTATGTTTACAAGATTTTGGCAAAAGTATCTCATTTCTGCCTAATCCAGGGCCCACGATCTATCTACTAAAGCTCTTCTTTGATTTGGACCCTGAATTCAATTCAAACTTTTTTAAAAGTACAAATTATTTTTATAGGATGAACGATAGCCAGAATGAAAATTTGTTTGGGTGAAACTTCAAGTACACCATGCAGTAATTTAAAAAATTTCCCATAAAAGCTAGGGTCCACTCAGCTTTAACAGCTGTGAAGCACACCCACAAAGTACATGTACGCTAGCCCAGAATAGTATAGATAGATATTATTAGAGGCACATCAATAAGGGGACAATATTACTGATGTAGAAATCACCTTAGCTCATTCATTAATTGATATTTGGGAAGAAGATTTTTAATAAATTCTTAAAAATGTTTTAAATTTGATAACTGGAATATTTAATTCACGTCTTGAGGTGTTTTGATTGAAATGTTTTTCTGCAAGTCATATTTTTTTTTTAAATTATCAAAAAGTCGGTGATTTTAATGCTCGGTAACTTCTTCCAGAAAATAATTGATCACTTTTCTCGAAAAAAAAGTTCTTTCGCATCAAAAAAGCAAATATTTAGATTTTTATTAAAATTTTTAAATCAGGTTTATCTTCAGGATTATGAGTTGTGTTTGTACAGTTGCTACTTATGACATTTAATTTGTATTACTCTAGTCTAGCAGCATTTAAAGTTTGAAATATCAAAGGCCTGTAACATCAGGTTGAACAGATATAAGTAATCAATATTTTTACTGAAGACTTGAAAAATTAATCTCCTCCTTTCAAAAAATAACTGACCCTTTTTTTTGACTTTTTTTCCTAGGTTCTCACCGAATAAGATAGTTGGGTGGGTGGCCTAGATCTGGTCTAAGAAAGAGGAAGGGAGGAAGGATGAGAAGGAAAATAAATAAAATTATTACCTCTATATTAAGGTTCTCCTAACCGAATGAGATGGTTGGGTAGGCGGCCTAGATCTGGTTTATGGAAGAGGAAGGGAGGAAGGATGAGAAGGAAAATAAATAAAATAATTACCTCTATATTAAGGTTCTCCTAACCGAATGAGATGGTTGGGTAGGCGGCCTAGATCTGGTTTATGGAAGAGGAAGGGAGGAAGGATGGGAAGGAAGATCAAGAAACCTCCACCAACTACAAATACGTAATGATTTTCTAATATTTTAGTACTATTTAAAGGAACTGTTTACGTTACTATAAGAGGAGCATGCCATTACAACGACAGTTTGATTTTAAACATCTGAATTTTAATAGATTTAAGAATTTTTCGAAGTTTGATAATTGGTATGCTTAAAAAAAACTCATTAAACTGTTAAATAAAATTACAAACGTTTAAAATTTGGTGTTAATGATGATCCAAACCTCTGAGAATAGTAAATAAAGTTGGTAAGAGTTCCACTATTGTTTTGAAAATATATTTCGGTCTGGGTTGACCCTTTTCAGTTCTTGAGTTTTGTTTCTGTTGAACACTAAAAGAAAGCCTTTCTTTGTAAATATAAACAAATTGTGGTTTTTTTTTTAAATTACACAACAATGAAGAGTTAACACAACCCTCTTTACATATCTTTATTTCTATATCTTCTTAAAGGGACTATAAGCTTAATTTCAAGTACGTGACCTCCATGCAAAGATGACAATGCTCGATTCACAACGATACAGTTGAAACCCGCGAAACCTCAATTTAAGATAATCATATTTCAAAATTATAAATATCAAATTTATACTTGATCAGACAGAGCTTGTAAGGGTAGCGTTGTGAATCGGGAATTGCCCTCTTTGCATGGAGAGTTACTTGAAATAACACGTTTATTCCCTTTTAACCCCTTAAATGAAAAATATAAAATGTGTTAAGAACCCCGTATGCTGAGTTTATGAAGGATGTTGGTACTCCCTCTAACAGGTAAATCAATAATGGAACTAAATCACAAAACTTAGCCTAATTTTTAGAAATAAATCCGGCGTTATAGCGGACATGATTTGCGATAAATGTTGAGAAAGATATATAAAAATTGGCGGCTTTCAGAACATCTTGAACTAAAATTATTAATAAAGAAGGGGTCCCCTTATTGTGTATAGTTGGTTAACAGTATATAGTTAAAAGTGTGTGTGTATAATGGTTAAAAGTGTGTGTGTGTTTGTTTGTAGGGTTCTTCACAATGTTTATATCATAGATTACTGAGCAATAAAGATAGAACACAAGATGTCGTCTTTTCAAGATTTAGGGGTTTTTCGTTCACAATAATCCTGAGGTTGAACGCGGCATGCCTCAGGGTCATTGTGAACGCAAAACCCCTAATTCTTGAAATGATGACATCTAGTGTTATATCCGTATTGTTATTAATCTATTGTTTATGTGTATATACTTGGTTCAGTGCACTACATACTTAAATGCGTAAAATTCTTAATAATTGCGGGGGGAGGGGAGAATACTTGGTAAGGGACAGTATACGTAATATTGAAAAGGATGAAAAGATATTTTTATATTTTACCATAAGTATTATTATTATGGTTTGTTTTAAAAGTGGGAAAACGTTTTTGAAGTGGCATTTTTCATTTCTTTTTAAGTACATCTATCGTTTATTCAACTATCGATCTATCTATCTATCGTTGCATCATTTGATCAATCTTAACATTTGGATCAATCCTCAACGATAATTAATGTGAGCAATGTACATCACCCTTTCTTTCGTAAATATTTCTAAATATATGTCTATCTTTCTGAAAATATATCTATCTATCTATCTATCTATCTATCTATCTAGGCCTGTCCGAGGAGGATCTGTCTGTCTATCTTTATCTATATATCTAGATTTCTATCTATCTATCTTTCTTTCTATCTGTCTGTCTATTTATCAATCCATCTATCCAGCCATCTAGCTATCTATCGATCTATCTTTCAATCGATCTATCTATCCATCTATCAATCTATCCTTCTATCCTTCTATCTATCTAATCTTTCTATATCTTTCTATATATCTCTCTATCTAACTATCTCTATCCATCTCTATCTACCTAAATATTTATCTATCTATCTATCTATCTATCTAGACCTGTTCGAGGCAGATCTGTCCTGCTGACCGCTAAGGGTGAGGGAAGGAAGGGTAGAACTCCAGCTAGTAAACGTCTTTGTCCTGATGGATGGTAAAACCTGCGGCCCCACCCCCTTCAGTATTTATTATAGTTGAATAAAAATTTAATCTTACAAAGTTTTGATTTGGTAGATCGCAGATTGCAGAGGGAAAAATTCAGAGGTTGTAATTTATGAATTTCGAGAATAAACCAAAGGATTCCACTATAAAGACGATCTAACTCCTGAAATGAGACAATTCCAAGGTTAAATTAAGTCTTCTAGCCTTATCAAAGGCTTTTACTTACTTATTATATGATTTATTAGCAAAGAAAGAAACAGGTTTACAGTTTCAGGGAATTATAAATTTACGGAAACAGACAGTGTGAATTCAGAAATGTCGTCTCTGAAGTCTCATCCTTTGTGAATCAAGTTCATAGTACTTCTCTACTGTGGCCTAGCGTGAACTTGAAGTAGTTTAACTACAGTGGTAGGCGATTTTATCAATACAATGAAGACTACTTTTTATTTAAGTTTTGGTTGTTAACAAGCTTTTTACGAATTATAAGTTTACAAGTAACTAAAGAGAAGCTTGACTTCTATGTGTACTTGTATTTATACTGTTTAACAGCTTGATAAATCAAAATTGAAATCATAATATAATCGCCTACCACTGTACCTATACCAAACTGAACTGCTTGCTTAGGCGGAGATTTCAGATTATTTGACTTTTAAAAGGTTCCGCAAAGATTTCAAGGGCAATTTTTTATTATAAGAGGGTTTTGGGGTTAATTTTGTTATCAATGTAGCTATACATTAGCCTAGGTGTAACGATCGTGTTGGAGGAAGGGGTGTTATTGTCAACAAACCTGTATCAGCTCTGTGTGTGTACTTGATGTTGTGAACTGGTCTGGAGCTGAAACCCTTAATCCCGTTTGCTAAATCTCGATATTCACTGTGGACACTTTTCTGCTTAATCATCTTTTTTGGAGATATCTGCTGTAGGTTCCAACTAGCGAAAGCTCTCTCATTGATTGCGCGCTAAATTTCCCAGCTTATGATGCGACACTCTGATTGGTTTAATTTTAGTCACATTCCTGGATATAAAATAAAATTTAATTAATCTGTAGATTAACTAAATAGTAGATCAATCAATGATCTCGATATCGACGATACAGGAGTTTCCAGCTCAGAGCTGAAAACTTTAGAATGAGATATCCTTAATCCCGATTACTTAATTTGAGTATCCAATGGTCACACTTTTGATTTTCTTCTTAAACCGTTCTTTCTTGGATATAGAACAGAAAAATGAAAAACCGGTTTTTTAGAATAAGAGAGTCCCTCACGTTTCTTTATATTTATCTTAAATGGCGCGCAAACTTTCAAATTTATCAGCTTCATATATGCGACTCTGATTAATTGGATTTCATACACTTTTCAGGATACAAGTACAAGATTAGGTTAGTCTCGATATTTAGAAAAAGAGAGGATCAAGCATTAATCTCAATATCCACCATTCTGAAGTTCCCAGCTCAGAGCTGGGAACTTTAGAATGGATAAACTTTAATCCTGACTTCTTGATCCGTATATCCACTGTGGAAACTTTTCATTTTTGTCCTAATCCACTCTTTTTCTCTCTCCTTGGATATCCATTAAATGTTTTCTCCAATGAGAATATTTCTGTTCTCTCATTGGTTGTCCGCTTTTCTCTGATTGGCTGCTACAGTTTCTGAGATGATTACAGTTTTTCATACACTTTTAAGATAATCTTGCAAGATTATGTTAATCTTGAGATTATCAAAAAGAGAGGATCAAGCATTAATCCCGATATCCACCATTCTAAAGTTTTCAGCTCAGGTGACTTTTTAGAGTGTGCAGTTGGGTTGTGACTTGCGCTATTGGCCTAGCTCTCGACATGTTGATTCACACTATACTCTTGCCGGTCAGTTCTAATGGGGCTCAAACTTGATTTCTACGGTACAGAGTGTCCCAATAAACATTGGAATTCAGTGACGATTCTGTTTTTGTCTTTTTAAATACACTCTAGGCACTAGGCAGACGTAACTTTATTTTGACCATTTGAATTAGGTGGTACAGCGCTAATTCTTAACAAAGACGATTTAGAATTCGTCTAGCTCTTAATTCCCATGTTTATTAGGATGGTTGACTACTTAGTACTATCATGATAAGTAAGGAAATAACTTGTATCAGTAGGGGACCTATAAAGCGTTATGGTTTTGCTGTTTTTTTTTATAGGGTTCCATGTTTATTTGACAACATTTAAAATCATAAATTAAATCTTATTAGTCGTCGTAACTTTCAACAGTTGTATAATAAGGTAGGTTACTCTCGATTAAGAAGTATGAAATAGAAGGGAGATACAACTGACGTCGCCCGCCTTACCATATATGATTATACATGCTTTGCATACGGGTAATCAATTTGTATAAGAAATATTCAGAATATGTATGGAAAATGTCTGCTAAGATAGATAGATAAAAACCTCAGATGACTTCACTAATTATAGAGACGAGAGTGACCGTCTTAAGAGGTTTTTATATATTTATCTAAGAAACGACATTTTCCGTACATCGTGAGTAAATTAACTTATTATAAAACCTTGCTGGAAAGTGCAGTTTTACACTAATTAGCTTTAATTTGTATGAGATGAGATGAGTTATTCTAAATATGAGGGTTTCTAAATTAGATAAATTTAAACTGTTTATTACGAATGTATGGAATTTTCTAAATCTCCAGCCAAATACATCCATATTGCACAAATTAACATTAAAGCTCTGTATTTATAATTAAAATTAGATTTTATGCTTTTACCGTTCATTTTTGATATAATGTACTTACCGCCACTGGGAAGGTTTTCAGTGGAATAACCTGATTTCTTTCAATATCCTGTTGTTGATTTTAATATCCTGTTGTTGATTTGAATATCCTGTTGTTGATTTCAATATCCTGTTGTTGATTTCAATATCCTGTTGTTGATTTCAATATTCTTCCATTGTATTCAATAGTTTGTATTTGATTCATTATGTTGTACCTGACTTAATGTTTTGTTCTTAATTTCAATATTTTATACTTAATTTCAATATTTCATACTTAATTTCAATATTTTGTACTTAATTTCAATATTCTTTACATTTTAATATACTTAATTCCAATATTCTGCACTTAATTTCAATATTCTGTACTTAACTTCGATATTCTGCACTTAACTTCAATATTCTGTACTTAACTTTAATATTCTGTACTTAACTGTACTTGATTTAATATATTGCACACAGTTCTGATACGCTTTACTTAATTTCAATATTCTGTTCTTCATTTCATATTTTGTACTTAACTTCTATATTCTGTACTTAACTTCAATATTTTGTACTTAACTCCAATATTCTGCACTTCACTTCAATATTCTGTACTTAGCTATAATATTCTGTACTTAACTTCAATATTCTGCACTTAACTTCAATATTTTGTGCTTAACTTCAATATCTGTATCTAGCTTAAATATTCTGTAATTAACTTCCATATTCTGTACCTAACTTTAATATTCTGTACTTAACTTCAATATTCTGTACTTAACTTCAATATTCTGTACATAACTTCAATATTCTGTACCTAGCTTAAATGTTCTGTACTTAACTTCTCTATTCTGTACCTATCGGTTCAATTTCAACGTCAGTATTCAATTTATTGCAAATTTAATTATTTTATATTTTCAGTAAACATTTTCACTAAACTTTTGAAATAATTGTTGATAAGTGAACATATTGAATTACTCCAGCATGATAATGGTGTGCAGTGATTATCTTGAAGAACCACTAAACCACAGTTCCATTAAACCCCTACTTCTTGCATAATAGCGTTTATGGAGTCATCAACTAATCAATCAATCAATCAATTTATTCATCTATTAATCAATCAACTAATTATGCTAGAGTATAGAATAATCAGTCTCTTTTCAATTTAAAACATTTAACCAGATGATGTTTTTAACGGTTAGTTTTATCGTATATAAAGGGATGAGGGGACAGCTCACGGAAGCAAATTTTGGACTAAACAACCAACTTCCTACAAGCCGCGCGTAGGATCTGTAGGGTCTCAGGAAACATGTCATGATTATGCTTTTAGAATTTAGTTTCATTGTTCAAGGATTTATTTGGAGGAACTAACATGACCAACTCTACAATGAACGTAATTTCATTGTTCAACGCTTTAGTTGGAGGAACTAACATGACCAACTCTACAATGAACGTAATTTCATTGTTCAAGGATTTAGTTGGAGGAACTAACATTAACAACTCTACAATGAACGTAATTTCATTGTTCAAGGATTTAGTTGGAGGAACTAACATTAACAACTCTACAATGAACGTAGTTTCAAATGAATCTCCATTGACTGAACTACTGGAATATCTGATTCACAATCACAACNGGGGGGGGGGGGGTTGTACCAAGCTATTTATATTTGATAATACTCAAATTTTTGACAGCAAATAAATTGTCCTTAACTTTGTTTTCGATTTTTAGTCTTCGTTTTCATAACAAAACGATCGTTTTTCAATAAATTGAAAACGTTAACATTCCTTTATGCACAATTACTTTTACAAAGAGACCCCGACTAAAATTATGTAATTTTCAACCTAAAAAAAGTCTCACTTAAAACTTAATGAGACAACAGTCTAAAGGGTACTCCTAGGGTTCGGTCATCCACCCTTTATAATAAATGGTCACTTGAACATATGTCTGTATTGTCTCTTTAAGAAGATCTTTTTATTTTCTGAAAGATGGATTCAAAATAACAAGAAGATGTTGATGTTTAAGTAATTTTGGGTTTCTTTAAGAAGCTGATATAAGAACGAAAATTATTCACATCTCAGGTATTGAAACAACAAATAAAACGTATACAAAATTTAGATATTTTAAAAGATTGTTAATGCTAAATTATATTAATTATAGTTCTTATATCTTAAAATTAATCTTATCATAAATATTAATATAATTGAATAATTTTCTGCCCAGGTGTTAAAGACTATTTATATAATTTAGATTTTATCAGAGAAATTTGTCACGCTTCTCGATTTCAATATCCTGTTGTTGATTTCAATATCCTGTTGTTACCCTTTCTATAAACTCTATATTCACGTTTTTATGTTTACTATCTTCAAAATCTTCGTTTTTTATAATTAATAAAATTATGTAAATGTTTTTTAAATGAATAGTTTAAACCAGTATTAAAATTTATCTTTCTGGGAACTTTTTTTTGTCGTTTTAAAGCACTTTCTCGTATATACTATTTTTGCCCTTTTCTGATTATTTTTGTCATTTACAACTACTTATAAGCTACCTTACTTTACAACTACTTATCATTTACTTAATATCTATTTTACAACTACTTTACAGCGTTTATTCCTAACATGCAATTTTGTAACTGCGCTTTTCATCTTACTAATAACTAATTTACAGAATACATATTTCAATCTATTTTATCTTCAACTATAGTCAGTCAATAGGGTTTTACAGAGTGTACCTACAAACATGATGCACACAGACGACCTTCAAGTCTTCTCTTAATTTTCATGCTTTATGGGACACCCTGTACGAAAACTTACACTTACGAAAGAAATTTACAAAAAAGAAAAATTTTCATAATTGTTTATTGTTTATTTCGCACATTAATATTAATAGTAATAATGATCATAAATATCTGGGTTCAGTGATCAGGAAGTTTTGCTAAAAAGAAAATTTACAAGAATTAACTAGAAATACAAAGTTGACACATGGGATACTTAATTAAAGAAAACACAGGACAAGAAATAGAAAACACAGGACAAGAAATAGAAAACACAGGACAAGAAATAGAAAACACAGGACAAGAAATAGAAAACACAGGACAAGAAATAGAAAACACAGGACAAGAAATAGAAAACACAGGACAAGAAATAGAAAACACAGGACAAGAAATAGAAAACACAGGACAAGAAATAGAAAACACAGGACAAGAAATAGAAAACACAGGACAAGAAATAGAAAACACAGGACAAGAAATAGGAAACACAGGACAAGAAATAGAAAACACAGGACAAGAAATAGGAAACACAGAACAATATTTATGACACACCGGACAATACTAGGAAACACAGGAAAACATGTAAGACACTAAGGACAATGAATTGGACACATGGGACTATAATAGGAAACAGAACAATGCATAGGACATACAAGACAATATATAGGAAAAACAAGACAATACATAGGACTTAAAAGACAGTACATACGACATACAAGACAATACATAAGACATACAAGACAAAAAAAATAGGACATACAAGACAATACATAGCACGCACAGGATAATAAATAAGACAAAGGACAATACAAAGGAAACAAAGGACAGTAAATAGGACATACAGGACAAGACATAAGACACGCAGAACAATAAATAGCACACACAGAACAACATTTAAGGACACAAGAAAGGACACAGGACAATGAATTGGACACATGGGACTATAAATAGGACCCAGGACAATACATAGGACATAAAAGACAATAAATACAAAGGACAACATATAGGACACAAGGACTATAAAAAGAACAAATATGACTTTTAAATTCTATATGTCTCTGTTTGATTTGGAAATTAAGAATGATGAGACCAAAAAAACACAATATTAAATTAACTAATAGTTTCAGCTAATTTTCCGAAAAACAAAATCAATAAAAAAAATTGGGGGGGGGGAGATCTTGCTTAGTTTTACAAATCATCAAAGGTTATTTCCCGTGGGATCTACAGTGATAACCAGAAAACAATTGAATAGGAAGACGCAATATAGCAATACTTAATTATATTGATGTTGTTACAAAGCAAATAGTTTTACTAGACACTAAATCACTCATTTAGTGAAATGGGGTTTTTAACACTACACAATTCTCGTGTCTCTTGTTCAATGGACTTTTTAAAGTAATAACTTGATTCTGAAAGTCGTCTTCCTATTTCATAGTTTTCTGGTTATCACTGTATCACTTTTTAAGATATTATAAAAATGAATCCGCTTCGAGCCAACTTGGTTACACTAGGATACACTTTTAATATTTTGATATTTATTTCGGTCACGACCTTTTCTAATAATTCGATTTTCAATATTTTGTAGAGGTTAGACGGCAAAGATGAAATAAAACTGAAATTAAGAAAATATAATTAATACAATATATGTACATAAGATGGCATGAGGGCTGAAAACATAAACCCTTATAGTTAAAAAATCACAGTTTAAATCGTCCAATGTGGATTAGGAGTGTAGGACCAAATTCATAACAAATGGCGTTTCTGGGCTTTTTACACTTTTAAGTTAAAAAAATTGCATAAAAGTTAAAATGAAAAAGTTTTAAGAAATAGTATTTAATTTTGCATCAATTGATTTAAATGTCTGCAAAAGCTTTCACAAAAACTTCGATTAGCGGGATGTTATTTTATTTAATTATCCAAAGGGACATTAAGGAACATAACAGCCCTTTTTAGTTACCTATTATGTTATCATGTACAAAATAAAAAAGGTCTTCCAGTAACACAATGAAATCTATTGTGTTTAAATCTGTAGAAAGTTGAATTTAATCATAAGTTGGAAAATCTTCATTTGGTGGGACAACATCTAAACTGTAATAATCATGGGTTTCTCTAAACTCGTCTTGATAGTCCCCCCGGTACCATTGATGGTCCTGACGGGACGATGTATCACTTTCTCGATCGTCCTTAGAATCGTCCCATCGATAAAGTGTCGGCGTGTACTCTGGACTGTAACGGTCCGGACTATACTTCTCGGAGTTAAATTTCCGAACTTTATAATTACTTTTCGGCGAATTATAGTTCACTGCCGGCGTTTTATAGTTTACCTCCGGCGTTTTATAGTTCACTGCCGGCGTTTTATAGTTTACCTCCGGCGTTTTATAGTTTACCTCCGGCGTTTTATAGTTCACCTCCGGTGGCGTTTTAAAGTATACATCCGGCGTTTTGAATTTATCTGCCGAAGGTTCATAGTTCAAATTTTGACTATTTTTATTTTGTGTATTAGGACTAGTTTTGTATACAGGTCTGCTGTAATAATTGTCTCTGGACGTCAGAGTTTTTGCGGGAATATTTTGAACTTTTTGGGAGATTTTCGGAATTTTTTTCCGACGTTTCCGGTCTGTGTAGGGCAGCTGATGCCGGATATAGGGTCGAGCAGTAGACTTCGCTGATGGTTTACTATACCTGAAAATGCAAATCGTAAATCATTTTTACAATTTAACAAGGTTTTGACATTTTCAAATGTGGAAAAAGTCTTAGTTGGTCTCACTAAACATAAATTTCACTAGAAGGTACTTGAAATAAACTGAGATTTAATATGTAATGAATATGAATTTTTGAAGACATTTTTGAATTTATAGCAAGCTAAGTCGAGATCAACTATTGTCTTAAGTACGGTGAAGGGTTCAAAAGTTTATTAATTTCCATCTTGAAAAAAGTCAGTGTTTTTATCTAAATCTCCGTGTAATTCAAGGTAAACGAGAGGTCCTGGTTAAAAGCCAGTGAGTCTTAACTTTAGAACACATTTTTACCCATTTAATGTAGTTTTTCGGATTTTCTATTTTATACTTTTTGTTAAGCTTTGTGTTTTAAATGTTAAAGGGAGTGACCGGCTATGTAAGGTAGTTGAACTGAGTATGCATTGTTGTGGAAAACTTCTTTTGGATTCATTTGAGACATATTAAACTTTTTAAAGATCTGTAAATCCTGAGTTTGAGCGCAAAGTCGACGTTCAAAACTCCTACTTTGGGGGTGGATACATTTTCAGAATTAGTTTACATAGCCAGTCACTCCCTTTAGCGTTTATTATAAATCTTAAGCTATTTTAGAGAGGTTTAGAGAGGTAATTGCAACTGGTTTTACATGAATCTGTTATTTTTTTCCTGCGCGTGGATGGATGATGTTGATTTGATTCAAAAATGATTTTCTAATAAAATAATAAGAATAAAAAACATATTTAATGATTAAAGATCTCTTTTATAGCGTTTTTTTCCGAAAAATTCTAAATATAAAAAAACTGTGATTTACCTTTCTCTGAATGCACTCGGCGATAAACATTTCTACGAACGTTTGATACTAAAATATAAAATAAAATAAAAAAACTTGAATAATAAAAAAGAATGAATGTGCTACATTTCGTCCCATAAAACATGAAAATTTGTTGACGAGTAGAAATTAGAAATTAGCATCTCTTAACTTGCATTGTAATTGCTTAAACAAAGGGGTTTTTAAATTGCAAAACGAATTACCAAGCAAAAATTTAAAATATCCAATTTAAAAATAATTTTACTTAAAGTCTTTTTTACTATAGTGCAAAACTATTAAAGTACATAAAGATTACAATTATTATGTTTATTTGTACAGTGAAAAAGGAATTGAGGATTTGTAACAAAAAATATTTCTAATCCATATATCTTTGCAACCTGACTGTGTAGACCTTAGATTTTTCAAACTTAGATTATTTTAACTTACAGAATCCATATTGTGGGATATCTAAGGTCAACAACATTAGGTTGAAAAGAAATCGGGATTAGAAAATCAGAGTTTGTGGCAAAAACTCAATTCCTTTAAATCAATTATAAAAATTAGATAAATATATAAATTAGAATGCTACTTACTTCTATTTATGGCGAAGTTTCTAAGTTTATTATAAATATATTCTCCGTCAATATATATAATTATCCCTGTATACAGGATAAACAAGGAGATCAAGAGATACGGGATTCCAGCACCTACACACAATACAGATATAGATACTAGCGCCACCTACACAGAATACAGATATAGATACTAGCGCCACCTACACACAATACAGATATAGATACTAGCGCCATCTACACACAATACACATATAGATACTAGCGCCACCTACACACAATACAGATATTATAGATACTATCAAGGTTGTAATGCAAGGAAAGTTAATTGCTGCCGCGTATACTGCGTACATTTGTAAACAAGAATAGATGCATCAGTGTTCGTTTAGTATCCGAGGAGGTTAAAAACATTAAATTTTGATAATTCACATAATAGTTTCCTATGACCAGAATATTTCATTGATTTTTTTATGTGAAAGATGGATCCCATGTCAGGCTTCGACATCCGTCTTGTGTTTACATTAGCGCCCAGAGACAGTACACTGCAGTACAAAAGATGTGTACACTTCTAAAAACCTTTCCTTGCATTACATCCTGGGATACTATCAAGTGGTGATAATCGCTTAGAAATCTAAATAAGGTCAAAACCTTTATCTAATCAAAATATTAAGGTTAGCATCGTTTTTATGCGAATTTCTCCAATGCTTCATGTAAATAAGAAATGCACAAGACACTGCTGCAGAAAAACCAAAAATGAAATAAAAACGGAAAAAGAACATGTCATTTCTAATTCATACTGGAACAGACAAAGCTTTTGATAGTCCGTTGTAAATCGGGAATTGTCATCTTTGCATGAAAAGTCATTTGAAATTAAGCGTACAGTCCCTTTAACTACAATTGTACTCGATAGCTATACTATATAGATATATGGTCCGTCAATATAGACAATTTTCATTTTAAACCCTGAAATTATCAGTTTACATAAAAATTATAAACATTAAGTTTCAGGGCAATGTCCATATAGTGAAAATTTTGTTTATCTGGATTCTTAATATATAAACTGCACTATTTAAAAGTCAAAACTTGAGTTTATAAGTCGTCTTTCTAGTCCACGGTTTATGGGTCTCATTGTACGGTGGTCGGCGATTATATCAATACAATAAAGACGACTTTTTATTAATGATGCTTTGATCCCTAACAACCAATTTACAAGTAAACAAAGAAAACCTGTTAATTGACAACTTCTCTCTGTTACAATGTGTTTCTGAGAACTGTTTGAAAGCTTTGTATAAATCAAAATCAAAATCGAAAGTCGTCTTCAATGTATTGATATATAACACGACAACTGTACTTTACCTGTAATTCCCGGTAGCGTAATGTACGGAAATAAAGACCAGAGTGTTGTACCGGTTGTACCAGTACTCACAATACTGGCGGTTACCGTAGAACCGGTTATTATAGGGCTCACCACAGACACAATGTTGGAGATATCGCTGGACGCCACTAAACACAAAAATATATTATTTTAAACTTTAAATTCGAAATCGAATTTTTTATTTCACACACAACATTTCATATTACCATGCTTTCTTTTGTAACCTGGGCAAAAACTCTGATTTTTCTAAGACAATATCGATCTTTTTGGGACGTTTTTTGATCAATATAGAAATCGGGAGATTCATGAACATTGACTTTATTTCTATTTTCAGCACATTAGTTAGTTACCAATTTGGGAATTAAAAATTGCAAAAGAAATTTTACTGTTCGACTTATAAAAAATAAGAGAGACAGTTCGACCTGGGTCAATTAGGCTTATGATAATCCGGGAGCTGTAAAAAGTCTGCCCGCGCCATCTAAGTTTAAACCAATCCGGCTTTGAATAGGGTCGTTCTGGTTCTTACCGCGGGTCACTAAGGTTTGAAATAAGGGTCAGTCCGCTTCGAATTCAAATTGACCTTAGTTCATCGTGACATGAGAATTGAGTGACTATTTCGATAGATGATTTATGAGTTAATAAAGGCATACCGTCTAAGAAAGCCGAATCTAGCACAAAGTTAGAAATAACTATCAAACAGAATGAGAGGAAAAGCAAAACTTGACAAACGTTTGAGATTTAAGATGTTAAGACTTTGAGAGAACTTTTTTTTCCGAAGAAACTTTTTAAACTGAGAAAAAAGATGCAAAGTTACACAATATTATTTCGAAGGCTCTAATTATCCTATTTTTGCTAAAATTTGCTAAAAGCATTTAACCTCAATAAGGAAATTTTCTTGAAAAAATTTTAAATAATTTCAAATAATTTCAAATCAAATATAATTTTATTTTCACCCCGGGGCCCCAGTCAAGTTTAAGACAATAAAATACAAATGCTAAATATCTATTTTATAATATTTAAAAACTATAGTTAAAAGTTTGTTTATAACGCCTATTTCAAAGGGAGCGAAAAAAGGAAAACTATGATGTTCTAATCCCTATATCTTTGCAACAAAAGATATTTCAAACTATGGATTCTGTAAGATCTAATACTCTAAGTTAGAAATATCAAAGGGTAAACTATAGAGTAAAATGTTTTATCAAAAAGCTATATTGAGAAGAACGAAAATGTTTTGAATTTATAATATGTAACCAAATTAATTTGCTTTACTTGCACTTGTGCATAATTCAAACTAGAGGAGCAACGGAGTCAACAAGTCGTAATGGTTGTCATTTGAATTTAACCATTTTCTCCTAATTAGTTTTCAGTAAGGTTTGCACAATCAGGTTGAAAAGATATAGGAGTAAGAAAATTAAAGTTTTTGGCAAAGACTCAGTTCCTTTTATAAGAAACATTGGAAGGCTTCATTTAATAAATTTGACTTTTTGACGAAAATGTGTCAAAATAAATTGAACTAAATTAAAAGTTAAAAAAGTCGCGAAATCAATTTAACTAATGGTTTATTAACTATACCATTTAAAATAAATGTTCTTTGTTCTGATTAAACTCTGTTTATTAGATGAATAGATATTGATATGAAAATTATACATGTCAGGTTTTCATTGTTTAACTCCGTGACGTGAGCAAAACTTGGGATTTTTTCTCAGTTTAAATTTTTCGCGGATTCCCATACCTTGACGCAATGCGACACTTCAAGCACAGTTCTTATGCAGTTGCCCAAGGAAGTTACATGCACTTGCCGCGTTGCATTACAAGAAAGAGAGAGATTAGTATACATTCTAGAGTTAGGTTAGATAAAGACACTTTCAGGACAGAACGCTACGGCTAGGACAGGCTAGGAGGCCGAGCACTGCGGCCAGGGGGCCGAGCGCCGTAGCTCTAACAGACTCTCTGTCTGTCTTTTAATTCAACGCGGCATGCGCACATAACTTCCTTGACACTCTGCCTAGTTCTAAGATTCATGCACTTTGGTTGTAGCACGCAACAAGAGGTATATTCATTCTACAAGCATATTGTCCTTATACAATTGTACTTATTGTAATTTATGTACTATTAAAGGAATTATGGACGTTATACCGTTACTTTAAAGGGATAGTTCGCCTGTTTGAAGATTAAACTGACAGGATCTGAGCTGAAAACTTTAGAATGGGATACCTTTAATCCCGATAGCTTAATCCAAATATCCAATGTGGAAACTTTTAATTTCCTTCTTAATCTGCTCTTTTTCTTTCCTTTTCTCTTCTTGCCAGTTCCCGACCAATTTGAGTTGACTGATTAAATGGCGCGCAAAATTTCAAATTTCCCGGCTTCTCTGATTGGCTGTTATGGTTTCTCCAATCCCAACTCGAGTGATTGAATTATATATAAACTTTTGTGGATACAAATTTTAGAATTATTTAATCTTGAAATTAACTAAAAGAAAAGAATCTCGATATCCAAAATTCTTAAGTTTTTAGCTCAGGTTACTTAATTATGTTATAACATCTATTTTCTGAGAAAAAAAAGAAATAAAAAAATAAGGAAACAATGACAGTATCATGTTTAAAAATGGATTCTAATCGTGACTGATTCTCAGTCTTGAGAAATGTTTCTTAAAAGAGAAGATGAATGTAGATGCTATAAAAAAAATTAAAAAATGAATTTCATAATTTTTCTATGGTTTTTGGCAGAAAATAGCGAGTCAAAATGGGCCGCATTAACATTATCGAGCGGGGATAGGCTTAGTTGTGTTTCCCATAAAGATTATTGGAAATGATTGATGTCCATTTTTAACAGGTGAAGACTAAGAATCCATTAAAACCTTTATAAATCCTTTATCCAAGAAGGAATTATAAAAATAAAAATATGAAAATTGACAACTCAGACATCTTTTTAACAGAAAATATATTTACCGTATTCTGGACATAGTTTAAAACACAAAATTATTTAGAAAAACGTTTTATGAATTGTTTTGAAAATTTAATGTGGTATTTTTTGGCCAGAGTTCACCATAGTTCTTAAAGTTTTATGAAAGATCCCATTTTTTCGTAATATTTAATCATTTTAGCAAGTTTTAATTAATTTTTTATTTTAAGTAATTTTAAACTATTAATAATTATTTTATTTTTATTTTCATCTTTTTTTGTTGTAAAATAAACAACATTGACAAGGAAAGCTATAAATGCTTAACAGAGTTTAATTGTTTATTTTTTTCATTAATTTTTTTCTGAGAAACTCTAAGATGGCCAATTCAGGTGTTAATATCAGAGTTACTGTTGAGATAAAATCAAAATATAAGAGCCTGGAAACTAAAGTTAAGATACCAGACAAAATTTTTAAGTTGTATGTTGAAGGGGTTCGTTTTGAGATATGGTTTGGGTCAATCTACTGAACAATCCAGAGATGATTTCAAGCATAGATTAATTAAAAAACAGATATGGCACTAGATGTCGTCTTTTCAAGATTTAGGGGTTTTTCGTTCACAATAACCCTGAGACAGAAGCCCAAAGGAGTTACGTAGAACAGGCTCTCTCTCTGTAAATTTACAAGACAGAGAGATGGCCTGTTCTACGCCGACTGCGCGTAACTCCTTTGGGTTTCTATCTAAGGGTTATTGTGAACAAAAAAACCACTAATCTTAAAAAGACGACATCCAGTGCCCTGTCTGTTATTATAATTTATCTATGACTTCAAGGATGTACGAGGAATGGAAGATTTAAGCTTCGAATACATTCCAGAATAAATTTTTCAAAATGTTACAATAGCAAACTTATCCCGCTTAGCATTTTAAAAGAGTGTAAAACTCTCAGATTCTTGTGAAAACTCTTTAAAGTTGGCGGAACCTTGTATGTTAAAAAGTTGAAAACGATTTGATAGAAAGATTAAATCTCTCTGGCGCACTCGATTGACAAATAGCAATATTTCTTTAATTTGTTTTAAAAAGGGTCATTAACTGTCTGTTTGTAAAATAATGCTACCTAAAAATGCTCAAATAAATCAAACGAAATAAACGAAAAGAAAACTTTTTATTTCAGTTCCAGTACATTTTCCCCTATTCACCATATATCCCCCCCTCCCTTTTCTAGATGCCCCCCCCCTTCATCCTACAGTATAGATAGATAGATAGTTAGATAGATAGATAGATAGATAAAAAGTTTGCCATCTAGTGTGATTTAAAGCTAAGGTTAGGTTAGATAGATATACAAATAGATAGAAAAAAAAATAGATACATATTACATAATATTATATATTATAGACATATATTGACATATTTAACAAATTTAATCTTTGCCACAAACTCAGTTTTTCTATTCCCTTTATCTCTTTGCAAACCAATGACATATGCTTGAAACATTGATGGCTTTAGCCATCAGGTTGCAAAGATGTAGAGACTAGAACATTTTGTGGCGAAGACTCAATTTCCTTATCTTCAACAATATTGTGTAAACTTAACCTTATCTTCAATTTAGCTAGAGAGTTTTGGTGCAATGTTTTAATAGTGTAATTTTAAGGATAATTTTTAGGAGGGGGTGGGGTGGGTAGGTTGCAGGAGGGGGGAAGAGAAGAGGTTGATTGAGGGAGGGGAAAAGGGAGGGTTCTAAAGAGGGGGGGGAAATGTTCATGTATGATTCAGAGTTAAAGGGAAATTATTCTTTGAAGTGTAACCATGGTCAATAACAGAGTAATATCTATCTATCTATCTATCAGTTATCTATCTATCTATCTATTTATCTATCTATCTATATATTTTCTTTGACAAAAATCTTAGCTAATAAATTGACATAAATTCAATTATGATTAGAAAAGCAATTTTTCAGATTTCTTGTTTAAATTCTTGATGAGGTTTTGATTTCGTGGTAGATAGTTAGATAGTTAGATAGATAGATAGATAGATAGATAGGTAGATGTTTAGATAGATAAATAGATAGATAGATAGATAGATAGATAGATAGATAGATAGATAGATAGATAGATAGATAGATAGATAGATAGATAGATAGATAGATAGATAGATAGATAGATAGATAGATAGATAGATAGATAGATAGATAGATAGATAGATAGATAGATAGATAGATAGATAGATAGATAGATAGATAGATAGATAGATAGATAGATAGATAGANGATGGATTCAAGGGAAAGGGGTATATATCGGGGGGAAAGTTATGAGGAAAAGATGAATTTATGTTTGATAAGTGAAATTTTTAACCACAATACTCACCGCTCAGCAGTCAGCAGTCATGTTTGTATGTAATACATTTCATAAGAAAGTACAAAGTACTTATTTATGTACTTATGTACTTATTTACATATTTAATCAATATATTTTTCATTAGAATTTATAGTTTGACTTTAAAAATAATCTGTTTTATTATTTTTTCATGATTAATTCTAAAAACGAATTAAAAAAAACTAATTCTGTGAATATCTTAAATTAATGATTAAATTTTAAATAAGAATTATAATTTTTGTTGAAAGGGACTGTAGGCGCTTATTTTTATGTGACTCTTTGTTTAAATAAAAGTGTTAAATTTTGACAATTTTTTAATCTATCTCTGCATAAATCCGCAAATTAAATCTAAAGAGAACCCGCAATTGAAAAAAATCAATTTTCAAATGGAAAACCAAAAATGTCAACTGGACATGAAAAAAGGATTGCTAAAATTTTGTCATTATTCCCTAACGGTGCAGACGGTGCTGATCATTACAAAATATATATATATTAAATATCTATAATTACAAGAAAGATAATATTAAATAAGTTGTATGGATTGTTAAAGTGATTGTTTACGAAAATTAACTTGAAAATTAGATAATATTATGGGACAGTTCACTAAAATGGAAAATTAGATAATATTATGGGACAGTTCACTAAAATGGAAAATTAGATAATATAATGGGACAGTTCACTTAAATGGAAAATTAGATAATATGATGGGACAGTTCACTAAAATGGAAAATTAGATGATATAATGGGACAGTTCACTAAAATGGAAAATTAGATAATATAATGGGACATTTCACTAAAATGGAAAAATAGATAACATAATGGGACAGTTCACTAAAATGGAAAATATCGATCTTTCTCGCAATTCATATTATTACGAACAAACACCAGACAATCTTTTTTTTACCAAAAATAATATTTAAAATTTTAATTTTTTGCCAACTCTTTCTTTAAAGTTGAGAGAAACCTTGCTAGTTTTTAACCATTATTTAACCAGAGGAGCAGAGCACATAATATTCTGCGCACGCACAAACATAATCATACGCGCACAAACACACACATGCGCACAAACTTAATCATTCGCAGGACACGTGCTTCTGCTCACATTATAATATAACAAGTTTTAATTACTTTACCAAGTGCATCATAATTGCGCGGGGTTAAATATTTTTGCTTTTGTTTTCGCATCAGATTTTTTTTGTGTTGTTATTTGTATGGATATTTTCGCAGATTTTCCAATTGATCTAATAACATAATAAGAATTTTTTGCTCCATTTTTTGAGTTTTAGAGGAAATTACGCAAAAAATATGAATTCCCTCAATCTACGAGCTCTACAGCAACAATAGCTATAGCTAAAATACTATGACGGCAGCTCATTGTGGATTTTGGAAGATTTTAAAAGATTTTGAAAACGAAAGAAAACTGCAAGAAAGTCTGCACTCGCCGAAACTAAAACAGTAAGGTGTGATTGAGCAGAAACAATCTTCCAAAAGTTGAGAATGTGAGCAGGAATTGCGTCATTTAGACAAGGAACATAGCAACAGACATTAGACGAACTGAACTGTAGAGAGAATTGATACTTATTTTGATTTGTCCAAGTAAATTTCAATGTCTATATTGATGAATATATATGCAATATATATATGCAATGCAATATATATACTTTAATGCAATCTTTATAAGTCTTTTTTATGAAGATCTATTTCTTAAAATACGATATATATATATATATATATACTTTAATGCAATCTTTATAAGTCTTTTTATGAAGTTCTATCTATTAAAATACGATATATATTTATACGGACGGACTTGTGACCGATATTTATTTGAAAAGTTTTCGAACCGTCGAACTGTCATCGTTCAATTTTGATAAAGTCGAACACAGCCATAGGAATTTTTCAAACAATGTTTTCCCTCAAATCTGTGCCTTTAAGTTGGCTGTTTGAACGTTAAAAAAATGACAAAGAAAAAAATAACAAGGTTCGGAATATTAATTCTGCATTTTTTTAAACACTGTTTTTGTTGCAAAGAAATGCAACTTCTAAGAATTTGAACTTTTCTTTCTTGAAATGCACCCTGAGTTTCCTACCTGCAATAATGGGGGTGGACCCTGTAGACAAAATTACAAATTTAGTGAGAGAAATTGTAACAAAGGGTGTCACCCGGAACAATTCAGGAACTCTACGATCCAGGATCCCGGCGATCCTTGGATCACTCTGCTTAGTCTTGATCCTCTTCTTCGGACCATTCTTGGTTTTCTTCTTGCGCGTAAATTTTGTAAATTTTTTGGGTTTTTTGGATTTTTTGGATTTTATTTTTGGCTTGGCATCCCGCTTCCATCTTGTCATTTTGTTGTTGCGGAAGTAGCGAGTGGAGCGAGTTCTGTTTCTTTGAGGGGTCAACCTGAAGACAACATAACCTTTTAAGGTATGAAAAGAAATGAGGGGGGGGGGGTTAGTTTATGATGCCAATGACGACGAATTTTTATTTCAATTTTTAATTTCTACCAATTTTTCAAGCAGCAGAAACACAAGCACATGGAAACAAGGAGAAGCTGTCATTCAACAGCTATTCTTTGTTTACTACAGTGAAACCCTTAATAACGAATACATTGAAAGAATTCATCAAATGTCGTATTCTTCACTTTCTGATAATGGAATGTTGCAGATATTTAGTTTTTTAATGAAATGATTATATGGAACTCTTTAAAACTGTTCCCGCATATTCATGGCTATTTATTTATTTTCGCAAATACTGAAATTTACGTAATATAGTATAAAACTCATTGAAAAATTGTGAAGACGACATTTGATAAATTCTTTCGATGTATTCGTTATTAAGGGTTTCACTGTAGTAAACTATTAATTTGAAAAAAGCTTGTTAGAAATCAAAACTTAAATATTAGAGTCGTCTTCATTGTATTGATATACAGAGCGTCCCATATCATATTAGACTATCTCCAATCTTTAACGCTAAAATACGCTAATAATACTCCGAAAATCTAGCATTTTCTGCAAACAAATTTTCTATTAGCCTTATTAAATTTTTCAAAATGATTCATCCTTCTTAAATTTTCTGATTTGTCCCCCAAATCGTAATATGGCTAATTGACGCGGTCTAATTTGATGTGGGACACCCTGTATGTATAACTGAAAAAAGTGAATGAGCCCTTTTTAAAAAGATTTTTCTACATTTTTTACATTTTTTATATAAAAAGAGTTATTTTCCTAAATCCGTCTAGAGTGAAGTTAGCTTTCCTATTATTGAATAGGTTTCCGTAATCTGGATAGTCCAATACTTCCGGTGCTTTATTTCCTCCACTTACGGTCTCCAGGATGTCGTAGAACTCACTAGGGAGCGGGGTGGTCGACACCTCGTCAAAATACATATGGTAGAAGAAGTCGTCTTCGTCGTATTCAATGTAGTCCGAGTATTCCTCGTACATACTTGGATCCACCTCTTCGTCAGCTTGAAGTTCAGGTTGCTTAGTAGGAGCCTGGGTAGTCCACCAGGTAGTCCCTGCAGTAGGAGTAGTTGTACTCGGAGTTGTACTTGGAGTTGTTGGTGTCGTCGTTGTTGTTGTAGTTGATGTTGTTGTCGTAGACATTGTTGTTGTTGTCGTAGACGTAGTTGTTGTGGACGTTGTTGTTGTTGACGTCGATGTTGATGTTGTAGTTGTTGATGTTGTTGTAGATGTCGTTGTTGAAGTTGTCGTAGACGTTGTTGTTGTTGACGTCGTTGTTGTTGATGTTGTTGTTGATGTTGTTGTTGTTAATGTAGTTGTTGTTGATGTTGTTGTTGTTGATGTTGTTGTAGATGTCGTTGTTGAAGTTGTTGTTGTTGTAGAGGTTGTTGTTGTTGACGTCGTTGTGGATGTAGTTGTTGATGTTGTTGTTGATGTTGTTGTTGTTGTTGTTGTTGTTGTTGTGGTAGTTGTTGTTGTTGTTGTTGTTGTTGTCGTTGATGTTGTTGTTGATGTTGCTGTTGATGTTGTTGTAGATGTTGTTGTAGATGTTGTTGTTGATGTTGTTGTTGATGTTGTTGTTGATGTTGTTGTTGATGTTGTTGATGTTGTTGTTGATGTTGTTGTTGATGTTGTTGTTGACGTCGTTGTAGATGTTGTTGTTGAAGTTGTTGTTGACGTTGTAGACGTTGTTGGGGTTGACGTCGTTGTTATGGACGTCGTCGTTGATGTTGTTGTTGTTGATGTTGTTGTTGAAGTTGTTGTTAATGATGTTGAAGTTGTAATAGACGTTGTTGTTGTGAACGTCGTTGTCATTGTTGACGTTGTCGTTGATGTTGTTGTTGATGTTGTTGACGTCGTAGATGTTGTTGTTGAAGTCGTCGTTGTTGTTGTTGTTGGCGTCATTACTGGTGTTGTGAAACTTGGATTAGATGCAACGGTTGTCCACCACGTCGTGTGAAGTGTAGTTGAATCTGGAATAATTGTAATTGGAGTTGTTGACGTTGTTGTTGATGTTGTCGACATAGTCGATGTTGTTGAAGTTGTTGTTGTTGACGTTGTCAATGTTGTCGACGTCGTTGATGTTGTTGACGTTGTTGATGTTGTCGACGTCGTCGATGTTGTGGACGTTGTCGATGTTGTAGACGTTGTCGATGTTGTAGAAGTTGTTGATGTTGTAGACGTTGTCGATGTTGTAGACGTTGTCGATGTTGTAGACGTTGTCGATGTTGTAGACGTTGTCGATGTTGTAGACGTTGTCGATGTTGTAGAAGTTGTTGATGTTGTAGACGTTGTCGATGTTGTAGAAGTTGTCGATGTTGTAGACGTTGTCGATGTTGTAGACGTCATCGATGTTGTAGACGTCGTCGATGTTGAAGAGGTCGTCGATGTTGTAGACGTTGTTGATGTTGACAAAGTCGTTGAAGTTGTTGACATTGTAGTAGTTGTTGACGTTGTTGACGTTGTAGTAGTTGTAGTTGGGTAAGGTCTGGATGGTTCAGGAGTAGGCGGAGTTGTAAAGTTAGGATCGATATCCTCTTCCTGAGTTAAAAAGGTTGTTGTAGGTATCGCTGTAGTTGTTGTTGTTGTTGTTGTTGTTGTTGTTGTGACAGAAGATGTCGACCCTGCCAAAAGGTCGTCAACAATAGTGTTCCCTTTTCTGAAAAAGCAACATCATTTAGTTACATTTCGTCGAGTTACAGTTTGTTAATTTATATTTGTCGATTTATACATTTCGTTAATTTATATTTGATCAACTTTACATTTTATCAAGTTACATTTCGTTAATTTATATTTGATCAACCTTACATTTCATCAAGTTACATTTCGTTAATTTGTATTTGATCAACCTTACATTTTATCAAGTTACATTTCGTTAATTTGTATTTGGTAAAACTTTTATTTGCTTAATTACACAGTTTTGTATTACTACAAATGCCAACTTATATGGCTAAGTTTAATGAAAGGTGTAAAGCTAAACATAATATAATAATATATGATAGATCACCTAAGTATAGCTAAACATCGACCCTCTAGCTCTGAATAGCGAATAATGTTTGACATATCAGCAACAACAACCCCTGGACCCCTGATTGCACCTAAAATATAATTTTATATTTTTATTCATCCACAAATATATCTAAAACTAATATTTTTATGCAAAAAAAAACTATGATTTTTTGGATTATTTATTATTCGACATTTAATATCAATCTATGTAATATTGAATGCCAATAATGTCCCAGTAAACTAGACATAAACTAGACATTTTTCTTCACTGCTTAAACGTTAAAAATAAAAATGGATGAGATTTACAAAATGTGGTCTACTTTGGATAATGTATGTAAAAACAATTTAAACAAAAATCTGTTTTTGAAATCTAAACAATATTTCAAATTATGAATTCCGAACGATCAAATAGTCTAAGTTTAAAATATCAAAGGTTTACACCACCAGGTCGCAAAGATATAAGGACTCTAAAATTTAAGTTTGAACAAAAACATAGTTCCTTTCCAAATACTTTCATGAACGTTAAAAGAATGAAAAGACAGACCCCATTTTTAAAATTCCAAGACTTTAATCTTTCAAAAAACAATATTCTTTAAAAAAACATTTGTCAAGTTTGTTTGGTTTACTTTTTAATATACAACTCAACATACTCTGCTTTAATTAGTTTCGCGTGAGATGCTTACCAATAAATTTAACATCAATATCTCCAGTTTCATTTGCTAGAAGATGGCAGTTTGTCCGACCCCGCACCAAATATATCGTCGGCAGTAGAGCAACATCAAATAGAGATCCAGTCTATATAATCGTTATTATTATTATTTTTATTATTATTATTATTATTATTATTATTATTATTATTATTATTATTATTATTAATTTTATTATTATTATTATCATTAATATTATTAACCTGGGTATGATAAAAGTATTGAACTGACCTTGAATCAAGGTAACCTATTCACATTAAATCTATTCATCGGGTTTTGCCGATATACCAATATTCAAATATGCAATAATATAAAGATATTCAAAGAAAACATTTACTCAATTTATTTTATTATTTTATTGGAAATCCGGTCAGAAACTGGTTATATCCGGTTAGGAACTCGTTAGATCCGGTTTAAAGTAAAGATAGTTTCCTAAAGTTTAATCTTTAAATGAACGTTGTCAAGACCTTCTACTTATAAAGTGACATGCTTACAGTAGAAATAGTTTTTTTTAAGTTCTCGTAGCGAATCGTACATGCTACTTTATAGATAGAGTTTTTGAAATTACATTAGTTTTTGTTTTTTCTTCATCACGAATGACAGATGAGAACTTCTGTAAATATGTTTGACTTGCAAGATCCGACCAAATTAAAAATTAATTTAAGAAAAACTTTAAAATCCACCAAAGAACTTTTGCGAATTTTGAACGTCTAGAGAAACAGATTGAAGAACAGATTAATATTTCATTGGGTAAATACAGATGCATTTGTATTGCATTGCATTGTATAATGTAAAGTTTAGATAATTTGAGTAAAAATAAAAAAACTCTTTTTCTCTTATTAAATGATAATTGGCGCTGAAGGCGCGGCTATAAAACAATTAGGATTTAATATATTAAATATATGCATAATTTTACTTTACAAGGTCTCATTGTTTAAAACTGCAGACTGCAAACCTCTTGATTATACAGGGTGTCCCGGTAAACATGACAGCTGAGAAACAACGGCAAGATCGTCTTTGACGTCTATTCAATGCCAAAATTTGGAGCAAAGAAAAGAAAAACGACAGTCTTTGATTACCATTAAAGACGACCGACGCGTTGCTTCGTCTCTCAACTGTCATGTTTTCTGGGACACCCTGTATCTTAATAAAGCCTGTCTGGACTGTGGGATCAGGATTATGTATTTATTATTTTATTCATTTAATTGTTAAACCGTGGCCAAATTGGAGAAAAACGCGGCATTGCACATTTAGGGAAATTAGATTTTTATTTAATAACAGCGAAGTTTAAAAAAACGTCCCCTGAGTTGATTTTGAATATTTATTTTTTAATTTGTATTTGTAAATATGTTTAATATCAAATAAAAAGAGTCAATATGGATGGAAACAACTTTTTTAAAGGACCCCCCCCCCGTTCCTGGTTGATATGTTTTTAAACAATATGTAATCACCATTATTCACTCGATTTGTACAGTTATTGCATTGATGACATTTTTGCAAATGACGTGCAATAACCTTTTGCACAGAAAATGTTTTTAAATGACGAACAGTGAACATTTTTATCTGTCAATGAATGCTTAGATTTTCAACATAAAGATTTGTTAACGCAAAATTGCGTAATTATGTAATAAAAACAATAACAAATAAGATCAGTAAAAAAAGACTCAATGGATATATTTAAAGTAGCAGATCAAACTTTGTTGCTTTTGCTACTTTTTTTTCTACTTAGTAAATATTTATCTTCTATTAGTAAGGGAAGTGAGTACTTTTATACATTTTATTTTTGATATTTCATGTCCATGAAATTATAGCACATAGATGTTTTTAAAATCGATTCTTTTAAAAAAGTATTTAGCGCATAGTTCATCTCTTCGCTCATTTCAGCTGTGAACTAGACAGATAGAGAACGTCAAATTGATGCGACGTCATTTCTACGGCTTTGTGATCTCGTAGAATTTATGTTACGCCAAAAAATGAGAAAATCTAATTTATTCGGTTACATATAAAAAATAATATAAAAAATATAAAAAAATAAAAATAAATTTTTCTATTTTCAATCATTTTGTAATAACAGGAGTTATGATGGAAAACAATAATGAAGATTTCAATGTTTTGTTCAATTTTCTTACATTTGACGTCATCTATGTATCGATATGTTAGCTATAGGTAGAAAAACGGCTGGACCAAATTTTGCTAATTTTTTGTAGAGGAAATCCAATGGATGACCTAGACCTTTTACCTCAAAATTAGATTTTTTTCCCAAAGTGTTTTATAATTCCGCGGGCAACGCTGGGCACTTCGGCTAGAAGAAAATATTTACCCTTGATAGAGAAAAATTATAGCTAAAATTAAACTTTAAGGTTAGATATTAAACTTAGAGTCATCCTTATATAATAAATCATGTATATATATATCATATATATACACCTATATATATGTTATATTTTATATTAAGAACCTGTATTTTGTACTTGAAACAGTAATTAGTTAATATTATCGTTATTTTTATTATTATTATTATTTTCATTATTAAATTATCATTATCTTTATCATTATCAGTATTATTATTATCATTGTTATAATCTTGTACTCACCTCATCGTAAAACAAATGTCCTTTCTCTGAATGTATCGTGCACTCTATCTGACATCCATCTTCTTCCAACTCATTAAACGTTATTCTTGTCTCTATATCGGCAAAGAAGTTTACCATATCATAAACCTGAAGAAAACAAATACGTTATTACAAATTTATCTGACTAAAAGGAATTTAATTTATACAGTAACAACCAGAAAACTTTGAAAAATATATTTGATATTTTTACAACGCAAATAGTTTTACTAGACACTTAATAAGTTACTAATAAAGTCTGTTTACTCTGCAAGATTGCTGTGTTCCATGCTTATTGGACTATTTCAAGTGATAATTTGAGTCCCAAAGTCGTCTTCCTATATCAGAGTTTTTGTTTGGTTATCACTGTGAAGTTTTGGGCAAAAAAGACACGCAATGAAAATAAGCTTTATAGTTTTCGGATGTACATCTAAGATTCAATCAAATGAATATGACCAATGAACCACTTAACATGATAGCTGATCACCGAAATCTATCTAAAAAGAAGATTTATCTAAAATATGCTGTTCGACTGAAAGCTTTTCAAAAGGTACTTCCATTATGGAAAGCTCTCTGCCTGTAAATAGCTTTTAAAGGGAGTGACCGGCTATGTAAAGTAGTTGAACTCAGTATGCAGTGTTGTGGAAAACTTCTTTTGGATTCATTTGAGACATATTAAACTTTTTAAAGATTTGTAAATTACATTACAGTTGAAACTTTATTGAAACTATGATACGGTTGATTGTATAATTGTGTTTTAACTAAAATATAATAATTCCACTGATGTGAATAGAATGAGAAAACGCTAAAACCAATAATGGCGAAGAAAAAAACCACAGATACAAAAATTGATTTGCAGTCAGACATGGGCATCGTTATAATCATTCAATGTGTTTTGGCTTTTAATAGGTTCCACAGGAATAAGAGAACATTACTTTATTTCAAAATTGTATTTTTACATCATTTATATTCACACGATTATTTTAGTTTTGTCCCTGCATCTTATAATAGAGTCAAATTTAATCACTATGTAAACACAACCAAACTTTTAGAGAATACAATATTATATTATAATAAATTTTTAGTTTCGTAAGGAGCCTCTAAAAAGATAACAAACCTTGAATGGTTGAAAACGAACCAAAATAAAACAATGTCCTGCTCTACCAAGAAATGAGACCTAGACCTTAATATACTTCTCATAAAATAATATTAACCCAGACCTTAAAAGAACAAAAGCATTATCGATTCAAATCTATTCATTTTTCGACGGTTTAAAGGACGAATTCACTATAAAGACTGCTAATATTCAATGGAAAGTTTAATAAAAAGGATGATTTAAAGGATATGCTATAAGAAAGGACCATTTAAAGGACAAAAAAGGGTGAATTATAGGGTAAATTTACTGAACAAAGACGGATTAAAGGTAAATTTACTAAACAAAGACGGGTTAAAGGCAAATTTACTAAACAAAGACGGGTTAAAGACAACTTTAATAAACAAAGACGGGTTAAAGGTAAATTTATTAAACAAAGACAGGTTAAAGGCATATTTACTGAACAAAAACAGGTTAAAGGCAAATTTACTAAACAAAGACGGGTTAAAGACAACTTTACTAAACAAAGATGGGTTAAAGGCAAATTTACTAAACAAAGACATGTTACAGGCAAATTTACTAAACACAGACAGGTGAAAGGCAAATATACTAAACACAGACAGGTTAAATGCAAATTTACTAAACAAAGACGAAGTCAGGGTAAATTTACTAAACAAAGACGGATTAAGGGCAAATTTACTAAACAAAGACAGGTTAAAGGCAAATTTACTAAACAAAGACGGGTTAAAGGCAAATTTACTAAACAAAGACGGGTTAAAGGCAAATTTACTACACACAGACAGGTTAAAGGCAAATTTACTAAACAAAGACAAATTCAGGGTAAATTTACTAAAAAAGACGAGCTAAGGGTAAATTTACTAAACAAAGACGGATTAAGGGTAAATTTACTACACAAAGACGGGTTAAAAGTAACTTTACTAAACAAAGACGGTTTAAAGGTAACTTTACGAAACAAAGACAGTTTCAAGGTAAATTTACTAAATAAAGACGGGTTAAATGCAAATTTACAACACAAAGACGGTTTAAAAAAAATTTACAACACAAAGACGGGTTAAAGGAAAATTTACCATAAAGATTTGGTAAATTGTTTAAAGAGAAATCTCAACAATTTCGTACACCTTTTTTTCCTGCGTTGCCGCCCTACCTCCTACCCCCTACCCCTTACCCCTTTTCCCCTTCATATAAATATATATATATATATATATCGAAAATTGACAAAACACAATAATTATTTATAACACTGTTATTTTGGTTCGCAGTGTTTTTTGACAGAAATTTTCTCTTTATCGAGAAGTTTCAAGCCTTTTCAGATTTAATTTTGTCCCGAGCTTTAGTGAGGGACAAAATATAATCTAAAAAGGCGAGAACCTTCGAGATATAGAGAAAATTTAAGTCAAACAACGTTATAGCACGTCGTACCAAAATAAGTAATTTTATGAAACGTTTGTGTACTTGTCTTTTTTCAATGGCTATTTCTAGATCAAATAAGCTTTGAAATAAAGCAGAAGTCAAAATAAAGTTGATTTCATTTTTATTTTCATTTAACTGAAAAAAATATTTTGGAAATATTCAAAAAAAATGTTTGGAGAAAACTGGGAACCAATCAAAACTTTTTACAGCTAATTTAACTTTAAAGCACAGTGATTACTTTAAAGTACGTTTATTATGAAATTCACGATGAAGTGAGTAAGAATGATAAAGTACACAATAGTTTTATAAAAAATATAAAATAGGGGGAGGTTAAAAGATCTTACCGTTCTGTTCAGAACAGGTTTTCCAATCGTGGACGGTTCAACAAAAACAGCTTCAACAAAATCTGGATCAGGTTCTTCATCATCACCGTCATCATCATCATCATAATAATCATCATCATCATCATCCTCACCAGGCTCAATAATATCAACTCCGTCCAGGTAATCATAGTATTCAAGATCAGGGTTCAGCTCAATCTCACCAACTTCAGCCTCCTCAAAATCATCAGATAAATCTTCAGAACCTTCCTCAGAGGCTTCTCCAGAGTTCTCATCACTACACAAATTAAAATCTAAGATTTTAAATTGATCATTTTAGAGAAAAGAACAGATTTTACATGATAAGACAATGAAGATTCATGTAAAAATTATAGTTCTTAAAGGTCTAATTTTACATAATAAGACAATGAAGATTCATGTAAAAATTATAGTTCTTAAAGGTCTAATTTTAAGATGGCAAAGCTTTGTCAGTTCAAGTATGAATTAGAACTTCATGTTTTTGAAATTATAACTGTGTATTTCCATTTGCGGATTCCCTGAAAAAATGACTTGCGCATTTCTTGCTAATAAGAAAGATTGGAGTAATTTTTAGAACTAAACACATTTCGAGTCAGAAAACGTTTTGATCAGGTATATAAAGGACACCGTTGTAAACCTGGCATTACTATTTTTGTATGTAGGGTTACTTGAAATTACGCTTAGAGTCCAATTATACTGATTAAATATAAATTAAATGGTTCCGAGCTTTATTTTTATTTTCATTACCCGGTTGAATTAGTAAGAATTATGTTTTTAAATTTTCCTTTGGCCTAACGAGGACATTACCATTGACACTTGTACCAAGTGATTGTATTATTATCGTTTAATTGACAGCTTCAGAACTTAACACTGTGATTTACAAATGTCATTTGCCTCTTTTTGTTCTTCATGAAAATAAGTTATTTAGCTTTTTACATCTTCTTTAATTTGTTAAGATCCGATGACGACGAAAAAAAACAAAAACAATGATATTTCATTCATACTTAATCAGACAAAGCTGTTATGCTGGGATCTCACTTAAAATTACAGTTACAATCCCTTTAAAATTAAAAATATTGAAAAATTTGATAATAAAATATAAATTTTATTTCCCTAAATCCCGGCCAGTCAGGATCTTCGACCGAGTAGTCATCAGAGTAGTCACCATAGTTCATTATACTAGTCGTCTGTTCAGGGACGACTGTCGTCAATTCGACAGATGACTGCGACTCGTTAACCGGAAAAATATCGTCAGGGACCGGTTTTAGAATAATCGGCGTTGGTGTCGAATCGGTCGATGCTTGGGGCTGGGTCGATTCGGGAGGTCTTGTCAGCTCAAGGGTTGCTGATCCTCCTGCGACAAAGTCCTCAATGGATTGAGCAGCGCTGTCGACAGCAGCGACTAAGGCGTCGATAGTTTCGTCGTCAGGACTGCAGAGACACATATTTATTCAACAAAGAAGAAAAGGATTGTGTAAAAAATCAAGGAGGGGGTTTAGTAAAGGAATATTAAAGGATTAAGAAAATGAGAAATAAACAAGTATATAATCGAGAAAAGAATTCGAGAAAGAGAAAGGAGAAAGAATGAACAAGGAAATAATTAAGGAAAAGACTAATGGAAACAGGAAAGGATTAAAAAATGACGAAGGATACGAATAAGGAAATGGTTGAGGAAAGGATTTAAGAAAGAACTAAAGAAATGGTTAAGATAAGGAAAGGATTTAGAAAAGGATTCAGCAAAATGCAAACATTAAAAACGAAAGGAAATAATGATAAAAAATAAAAACATATCTGCAAACTAAAGGATAAAATCAGAGTAGCTATATTATAGGAAAGCAAAGCACTGTAAAAATGAGAATTGAAAGATAAATAAACAAAGAAAGAAGGAAATATAATAAAATATTTATCTTCCCTGATTGTTGTTAGATTATACTGAACGTCCTCTTTGTACGGAAAATCGTCCTGTGGTTGATACTCGTCGTCCTTTAATTCGTCCTTTAGTGCTCTGGCCCAGGGGTTGAGAAGTTCCCTCGGCATGGACTGCAGGAGTCCAGCTGCCCAGGGAAAGGACTGTACAAGTCCTGGAAGATCTATAGGGGGTAGAAGTCCCTGCAGGTCCAGGGGTTGGACCGGGGTAGGTCCAAGGAGTAGGAGAAGGGGCAGCATAGTCATTAAACTCCTAGTGATAACCAAACCATAATTATCATTAACATAATCATTATCATTATTATTATTATTATTATTATTATTATAATTTAAAGGATTGCATTTTCGATTTACAAAAGTACCCAGTACATATTTATAAAGTACAGTACAGTACAGTAAAGTACCCAGTACATATTTATAAACATTAACATAATCATTATTATTATTATTATTATTATTATTATTATTATTATTATTATTATAAGAATTATTATAAATTTTTTTTTGGCTTATTACTTGATTGATTAATTGATTTATTGGAACCTATGCATTTTTCTCCATTATTTGGTTTGGTTTGCCTGAGTAGTTTCCATGTCATTCTCGCGGATTTCTCAATTATTGCAATTATCTGAATCTGCGTATCTCGAGGCGCGTAACTCCACTGCTTCCAATATTTTCATATCTTTAAGGAATTCTAATTTTTCGACAATCTTTTAATTTTCAAAAATGCCGCCCTTGATGATTGCAGATTTGTTTTTTATTCTTCCTAATTGAACAATTATATTCTGTTCTGCACTATTTTTCTTGTTTCACTTGGTTGGGAAAATCAAACAATCTATTCGAGCCCACATTGCAAAGTCGTCTTCACTCTAGGCCACCATTTAAAAATGGCGAATGGTACTTCTGAGTCTTAGAATTATCATGACTCACAAGTGCAGTTGGATGAGTCAGATTTCAAGGCGAGGTCAGTGCTACCAATGAGTCAGTTTAGCAGAGTAGGGTGAGCCAAGGTTGAACTTTGGAACAGTTTTTTTTTTTAATTTAATAAAATATAGAAATAATCTCTCTTTAGTTAGAGACAGAAGCAGACAATGATATACACTTTTTTCACGGTCAATTTACCACCTTTCAGACAAGNACGGTGAGAGGGGGAGGGGCGGAGGAGAGGGGAAACTTATAAAAAATAAAAGTTTTAAAACTTGTTCAACCTTGAGAAATCATGAGACGCATCCTGAAACAGAAAACATTTTAAAATTGCAAATTTCTAATTTCACTTATTTCATTTAAAAACCTTTTAAAAGAAAACTATTTACGCTTATTAGGCTTTCTTATCATCGGTTTTTGGGTAAACTTGATCAATAATTATCTGTTATTTAGCAGAAAACAGCTCTTTTTATTATTTTAGTTATTCTCTAATATAAAATTAACATTTTTATATTTTTCTAGAGTGTGATTTTACTGTTTAGTTTTCTTTAGTTTTTATACTTCCAAACATATTTTTTCAGTATTTCAACTTATGCCAAAGCCATTTCGACTTTTTCAGGAACTTCGACGAAAAAAATGTTAAGTTTTCTATTAAAGTTAAAATACTCAAAATAAAAGGTTTAAAAATATAACTAAAGTTACAAAAATACCAAAATGACCACAGACATATTCTTAGGTTTAATTCTTATTATAAAACCTTTTATTCTTTTAAAACAATGCAAAACATTGCTGTTGACTTTTTCTTTTTTTCTGAACATTAATGTTTGAATATGATTAAAAGAATTGAAGATTCCGACCGCTATATGCCCTGCAGTCGAGAAAACAGTGTGTCCGGTAGTGATACAGGAGAAATTTACCATTTTGAATAAACATTAAACATCTGTTAGTGTTAGTCCAGATTAATAGTTTAAACCTATCCTAGACTTAGTTATGTAGATAACAGTGGTTAATGTATACATATGTCTACATATACGTCTACAGGAGATAAATAGATAGATAGATAGATATATATACTTCTACAGCAGATAAATAGATAGATAGATATACGTCTACAACAGATAAATAGATAGATAGATACACGTCTACAATAGATAAATAGATAGATAGATACACGTCTCACATAGATAAATACATAGATAAATATACGCCTACATTAGATAAATAGATAGATAGATATACGTCTACATTAGATAAATAGATAGATAGATATACGTATACAATAGATAAATAGATAGATATATATGCGCCTACAGTAGATAAATAGATAGGTAGATATACGTCTACATTAGATAAATAGATAGATAGATAAATATACGTCTACAAAAGATACATATATAGATAGATAGATAAACGTCTACATTAGATAAATAGATAGATTGATATACGTCTACATTAGATGAATAGATAGATAGATATACGTCTACATTAGATAAATAGATAGATAGATGTACGTCTACATTAGATAAATAGATAGATTGACGTAAGTCTACAATAGATAAATAGATAGATAGATAAACGTCTACATTAGATAAATAGAAAGATAGTTCTGTTCATTGACAATTTTGAACCCAGCTTTGCCAGGAAGCTATATTTCTACTATAAAAAAGCAACACATTACCACTTTATATAATATTTATATATAAGTATTATTATTATCACTATGGTTATCCTTCTGAAAACACAATTTTGAAATGTACTTATTTCTAAGTATTAACCGTGTGTTAAACCATATAAAAGTGCATTAATGTTTAACAGTTAACTTGCATGAAAACTGCAAAATTTCATCAATCTTATGTCTGTCTGTCTTTGCAACTATCTTACAGTCCACTGTGTATCTGTCTTTCTATCTGTCTTTTTATATATCTGTCTATCTTTCAATCAATCTTTCTGTCTATTTTTAATTGTTATCTGTCTGTATGTCATCTGTCTGTGTTTCTATATATCTGTATGTATACTTGTCTGTCTGTGTGTATACAATTGTCTGTCTGTCTGTATGTCTGTATATCTATCTCTCTGTATGTCTGTATGTCTGTACGTCTGGGTGTCTGTATGTCTGTATGTCTATGTGTCTATATGTCTATCTGTTTATCTGTCTGTCTGCTTGTCTATTTGTGGTTGATGACAAATATATTTCTACATGGTTAACTCTCAATAGTTCTGATAGTTAAGTCACATATCTTTAAAAACTGTAACTACAAGATTTCATCACAAAACAATTGATGTTTTACGACTCATCTATCTATCTATCTGTCTATCCATCAATCCATCATCTGTTTGAGGCTTTAATGCCTATAGTTTATAACAAGGCATGTGACACTTTTGTTCTCCTACCCTGTACCAACAGACACTTGTAGATCCAGGGTGTCAAAAAAACATACAATAGGAAAATTTAATTCTGTTAGAAATGTTTGATCATATTTAAGGGATGTGTCTGAAGGTAACTAAAGGCAAATTTAGTTACTTACTCCTTTCTTTCACAAACAGTCTCTTAAAAACCCTATTTTTTTGTGGACACCCTACTCAGACTAGACTAATTTGTTCACCACAAAATCTTCTTTCACCTTGTGTGTTATTAGACTTGTTTGTATTAAACTTAATTGTTTTTAGACCACATTATGCTATATTAACCTACATATACTGTACTAGGTAACTAAGACCCTAGCTTTCTTGTAAAAATTAAGATTTTAAGAATAATTTTTCCTACATGCATTAAAAAAATGTGACTCCCAGATTTCTCCTTTTTCATGTATTGGTTTTCAACAAATTGAAAATATAATTTTCATTCATTCATTTTTTAATTTTTTTTTGTTTATTTTAATTTCTTTCTTTTATTTTCTTTAATTTCTTTCTTTCATTTTCTTAATTTTTTTTTTTATTTTTTTTTTATTTCTTTCTTTCTTTTTCTTTAATTTCTTTCTTTCATTTTCTTTCATTTTTTCTTTCATTTTCTTTAATTTCTTAATTGCATTTTCTTTAATTTATTTTATTCATGTTCTTTAATTTCTTTCTTTCATTTTCTTTAATTTCTTTCTTACATTTTCTTCAATTTCTTTCTTTCTTTTTCTTTAATTTCTTACTTTCTTTTTCTTTAATTTCTTTCTTTCTTTTTCTTTAATTTCTTTCTTTCATTTTCTTTAATTTCTTTCTTTCTTTTTCTTTAATTTCTTACTTTCTTTTTCTTTAAGTTCTTTCTTACATTTTCTTTAATTTATTTCTTTCATTTTCTTTAATTTCTTACTTTCATTTTCTTTAATTTCTTTCTTTCTTTTTCTTTAATTTCTTTCTTTCATTTTCTTTAATTTCTTTCTTTCATTTTCTTTAATTTCTTTCTTTCATTGTCTTTAATTTCTTACTTTCATTTCCTTTAATTTATTTCATTCATTTTCTTTAATTTCTTTCTTTCTTTTTCTTTAATTTCTTTCTTGCATTTTCCTAAATTTCTTTCATTCATTTTCTTTAATTTCTTACTTTCATTTTCTTAAATTTCTTTCTTTCATGTTCTTTAATTTCTTTCTTTCTTTTTCTTTAATTTCTTTCTTTCATTTTTTTAATTTATTTCATTTATTTTCTTTAATTTCTTTCTTTCTTTTTCTTGGGCTAAGTAAGGTTCTAAAATAAATTTTGGCCCGGTCGGTTCAGCAGTTTAGAAAACAGACAAGCAAACGGAATTAAGTCTTACTTTCTAATCCTTATATCTTGGTAACCCAGTGTAGAAGAACAAAGCAATTTCAAACTGTTAAATCTGGTAGATCAAATGATCCATGTTTGAAATGGGTTTCAATTTCACTCTGCAGAAAATTAAAATGTTTAAGATTACATTAGACTTTGTCATTTTCTTTTGACGTTGAGATAATTTCACGTTACTCACATTTAAAGGATTGCATTTTCGATTTACAAAAGTACCCAGTACATATTTATAAAGTACAGTACAGTACAGTAAAGTACCCAGTACATATTTATAAAGTACAGTACAGTACAGTAACCCACAACACACCTTCACCATAGAATCAGGGCACTGTAAAAAGTGAAAATTCAAAATTTTTAGATATAAATAAGGCATGTTTTTAGAAGGATTGGCATATATTGATGAACATTTTTTTAAAATCTACTCTAAACGATATTCTAACAGTCAACGTTTAAAAGAAATTGACATTTTTCTTTTAAAATAGGACAAAATACAATTGAGCAATTTTGATATGTTTTGAAATATTTCTATTGGTTTTAAGTGATCATATTAAATCTTGAATGATTTGTCAATTAAGGATTTTATTGGGAAGTTTAATATACAACATATTTAGGACTTTTCTATCCTTATCCTTTTTATTGAAATATTACAAATGTACGACAAGAAATTGTTTTAAAGATTTCTAATCTCCGCCTAATGTCTAAAAATTGGATAAATTACAAATCTTTTATTGAGTTTAGATCGTTGTGTTTTTATTATTTTATAGCTTAGCAATTATTCGAATTGCATCGGTTTTGTTCGAAGCCTGTCCTTCAGAAATTAGATAGAAAGATACTGAAAAGTTCCCACGCGTTGGAAATTATGTAAAATGAATTAAAACCGTTTGGCCAAGTTCTAGAAGGTTTATTTTATAGGAATTAAGCATGCTTCTCACCCTCCTTGCATGTTTTTGATTTTTTCCTTTAAAGATATAAAAGTAAAGAAAAATTTAATGTTTATAATTTTAAAAAATGATTATTTTCAATAGTGGTTTTTCTACAAAAGTAGCTTGTGTATTTACACTGTTGAAAAATATAAAGGATTTATCGGAATTTAACACTTTTAATCTACATAACGACATTTAACACTTTTAATCTACATAACGGCATTTAACACTTTTAATCTACATAACGACATTTAACACTTTTAATCTACATAACGACATTTAACACTTTTAATCTACATAACGACAACCATTTCTACATTATTGATCTGATGATGGTCTCTAGGGTTATCTAAACACTCTAGTATACCGAGTCCATTAGCGCCTGATCCAATCAGGGTTCAGCCATGTGTTTGTTGTCTATTCTGAACCAATAGAAATAGTATCGGGATAACATCTATCTTTCTATCTATTTCATTATCCAATTAGAGATAAATCCTTATATCAGCGCTTAACAGTGAATGGAAATATTTACTTCTACTGAAACTACAGTGATAAATTGAACTTAGGATGTTTTGACAGTTTAAGAAAATGCACAAATAGGAAAACTATTTTATTTTTACTAAAAATCCGTTGCTTT